TGAAAACCAAATGCTAAGGATGAGGTTAGAATTTATTCCTTCAATTTGATCACTTAGAATTAATTGATTATATTTTATCATGCATATAAAATTATATTTTCCTCCAAAACCTTAGAAGTTAAGACTTTCATTATTTGATGACATTATTTAACAGACATTGCAAAATCTTTGCTGTATCACATGGATGGATAACTTGGTGAAGGTATAGAGTAAAAGGAATAACTGCCCAATTTCTAAGGAAAAACCGTTTCACTTTTAAGTACTGTTCAGGTCAATTAATGTATTATGAAACCAAATTATACATGTTATTGAAATATTTCCTGTACTCTTCTTATTCATGAACTGTGTTGTGACTTTTAGCTGAGTATGTAGTATTCTGTTAATATGGGTTCCTTATTTAACTTAATCTTCAGCTTTTTGTCTTAAACCTTCATACTCACAGCAAAGTATTACATGAGTAGCAGGGGCTTTAAAAAGCACCAAGCCAGCTGGTATTTATTAAACGAATTCAGTTTGGGCCTTTGTTTCTTATTGGTTGAGTGTGAGATCTATGACTGTATCTAACAACATTATATATTTTATTTTTTCATTTTATTTTTAAAAGGTATACATTTGGATTTTAAATTATTTTTTAAAAATTTTCCAAGTATAATAAGGGTAAAGACAATTTTCATTAAAATGTAGACAGAATTAGCCCTGGCTGGTTTGGCTCAGTGGATAAAGCATTGGCCTGCGGGCCAAAGGATCCAGAGTTCGATTCTGGTCAAGGACACATACCTCAGTTACAGGCTCCTCTCCACTTTGGGCCCTGGTTGGGGTTCCTGCAGGAGGCCACCAATCAATGTGTCTCTTTCACATATATGTTTCTCTCTGTCTTTCCCTCTCTCTTCCACTCTTTCTAAAAATCTATGGAGCCGAAACTGGTTTGGCTCAGTGGTAGAGCGTCGGTCTGTGGACTGAAAGGTCCCAGGTTCGATTCTTGTCAAGGGCATGTACATTGGTTGCTGGCACATCCCCGGTGAGGGGTGTGCAAGAGGCAACTGGTTGATGTTTCTCTCCCATCGACGTTTCTAGCTCCCTATCCCTCTCTCCTCCTCTCTGTAAAAAATCAATAAAATATATTAAAAATCAATGGAAAAATATCCTAGGCTGAGGATTAGCAACCACAACAAAAGTAGACTGAATTAAAATAATTTGTTTTTAAGAGCTTCATAAAATAACATTTTTTCACCATTTGGTTTCTATACCCTTACCTCATTTTTTACAGTGATCTATATCTGTTTGCCTGTTTGTCTCTATTTTATACCGTAATAGTGAATTAAAGGCAAGTCAAGTGTAACTTTACCCATTCAGTATTATGTATCTCGAAGCGATGATTATTGTGAAGCCTTTGCGTGTGAAAGCCCACTCTGGCTACTGAGAAAACTTTGAAATTGAAAACAGTTTGATGTGAGAGTCATTCAAAACAAGAGCTCCTAACTCTTTTTACTTCTCAGCATTGGTAATGTTGTTTTGAAATTTAAGAGGCCCATAGTTTTAGACTCAAAAGCTATTCTTTAAGATATACATTTCTTCAGATCCTGAACTGGAATGCTAATAGACATTTTACTCATTAAATACATCTTATCAGATATTGACTAGTTCAGAAATATAAATGATGGCAATTCTATGACATTTGTAATCTTTAGTATATCACTTAAAATGAGTGTATGGGAAGTTTGCTCATATAGGTTGGTATATAGAGTAAGGCTATATAAACTCATACTTTTCATTTGTTCTCTTTCTTCTGTTTTTTCTTTAAATGGCAATTAAGAGTGAAATATGGGATTACAAATGGTAACCAAATAATGTTTTACACTAATCAGAAAAAGGTATCATAGAAGAATTTATTGGAGTATGTAAAAAACTATGAAAGCAAGATACAGAGACCAGAAGCCATAATTGAAACCCTAAAAATTCAAAATTTGCAATTAACATACATGCAAAAATATATCCTTGAGTAAAAAGATGAACCAAAATATTTTCAAGATGTATCAAACAGAACTAAGTTCCTTAATATATACTCTATTGAATTTAAATACAATGAGATAATATATACTCTATTGCATTTAAATACAGTGAGATAAGGCTGACAACCTAAAAAAATGGGCAAAGAACTTTAATAGTTCTAAAAATAATGACACCAAAATTTAAACAAAGGAAAAGATGCACAACTCATAATAAAAAGTGCAGATTAACTACTAGAGTAAAAATGCCAATGGTTATTTTATCAGTTGCTAGTTCTTTGCAGTATTATAAAATAATATCTAAAAGAGTAATTAATAAGCAATAATCTTACATTTCTATTGATAGAATGTAATGAATAAATTGCATTTGTAACTGGGATAGATACAGGTATTAAAAAAGAATAACGTAGGTATCTTAGTACTAATATGGGAAATATTAAACAGATATTGTTAAATGAAAAAAGCAAACAAAATGACATGAATTATACAGTCTTAATTTTTACAAGAGAGACTACACATTCACATATGTACAAACAATACTAAATTAGAAAATGAGAATAATGGTTGCATTTGAGACTAAGGAACTAAGGGATGGCTAAAAAAGGACTTCATTTTTTATTTTTACATTTTTTTATGTTCATGGTTTCTATAAACATCTATAGACATATAAAACAAGTTTAAAGAAAGAACATTTTAATTCAATTAAGTAAAACATCCAACTGAATACTGCCTGAAATACCTCCCATATGCCACAACTTTCTTGATTTTGTTGGGGATATTATGATGGATAAAATATTCTCCCTACTCTTCTGAAAAATCAGTAAAGCAGTACTAATTTGTAAATAGGGTAAGAGTCAACATAGTAGGTATTCTATTAGAGATGGGGCCAGAAAGGCTATATATATCCCTTGTAGACCACAGTGTAGTTTTACATCCTATAAGTTAATTAATCTGCACAAAATCTCATGGAATAGAACACTGTTCAGAGAAAAACAACAGCCAAGTCAATTTTTATATTTACTCATTGAATGCTCACATCAGTACTAGGAAGTGAGTGCCACTATCGTGTCAGTTTAAAAGTGGATGAAGAGAACTGACTTGCAGAAGTTGTCACTCCTTGTGCTATGTGACATTGCTAATGCTCAAATCCAGGTTACAGGACCTAGAGTCTGATTAGCTCAACCAGTCTATTCAAACTTTATTCTATAGTCTGAATTTATCTCCTCTTTGCAAATGAAAAACATAAGATTCAAAGGTTGTATAATTAATTCAAGATTACACTGCAGTAAATGTCAAAGCCAGTGCTAGGGCCACATTCTCCTGAATAAATCCAGTGATCTCCTCTAGTTGGTAGGGGAGTCCTGTGTAAAAAATAGGAGACGAACCATTTGATAGCACTACTCACCATCAGGACTAATGACAAATTACAGAATGTGTGGTTTCTCTAAGAAAACAATTGCAGTGCAGAGAACTTCCTTTTTGTGAAAAGATTTCCCCTATTCAAGTAATACCAAATAATTTGTTTTGCTCAGTAACTTGGATATGATTTCTTAAGAAATTTTCAAGATTATTAGATAAATAACTGGTATTTATTTAAAACTTGCTTCTGCTCTGTGAAGTAACTCTGTTAGCATTCCAGAATGAGGGCCATGCTAACAAAATTCCAACTTTTCTGTGGGATGATCCAAAACCAGCAAACAGAAGGCATTGCATTTCTTAACAGTCACAAGTGTGTACATGCAGGTGATGCCATTTCTGTCATTCATTGCTTTTCGGTGTGCACGTTTTCAAGTTGAAATACTTTGATTTGCAGGTTAATGTGTTCCATGGAGAATTTTTTTTCATATAGGAAATAAAAGAAGAGTAGCTTAAGAGCATGTGAGGTCTCTGTACTCTGCACCACATTTATGCAGGTCTTAACTGAATGTATGTGTTTAGTCTGATTTTAGGGTATTTGCCTTGACAGTGTGCCTTCACATGTCTAAGACATTTGCTGGATTAATATCCTGAGTTGTTTCATTAGTACTCTGATGTGACATACAGATCATGAAGTATGTTTGTGTAATGATTGTTAAATTAAGAAGAGGTATAGCTCAGTGGATTAATCAGTATCTCTAATTTTTTCCATTATCCTATTCAGTCTTAGGAGCCTTAATAACCTACTCAACAGCCAATATCGGAACTATTTAGAAACTTATTTTAAAAGTATAAAACTGCTCTGACCGGTTTGGCTCAGTGGATAGAGCGTCGGTCGGCCTGTGGACTAAAAGGGTCCCAGGTTTGATTCCTGTCAAGAGCATGTATCTTGGTTGCAGGCACATCCCCAGTAGGGGGTGTTCTGGAGGCAGCTGATCGATGTTTCTCTCTCATTGATGTTTCTAGCTCTCTATCCCTCTCCCTTCCTCTCTGTAAAACATCGATAAAATATATTTTTTTAAGTATATAACATTTCATTCATATGTGGAATATAAAACTGAAAGCAACAAATGAACAAACAAGAAAAACAAACAAATGAAAACGTATAGACACAGACAATAGTATGGTGGTTCTAAGAGGGAAGAGGAATGGGGGTATTAAAGAGTAACGGGGTCAAATATATGATGACTGAAGAAGGTTTGACTTCTGGTGGTGGCCCCAAAATGCAATGTACAGATGCTGTATTAGAGAATTATATGCTTGACACCCATGAAATCTTATTAACCAATGTCATCCCAATACATTTAGTTAAAAAAAAGAGAGAGAAGAGAGAGAGAAAGAAATGTGTGCAGAAATAAAGTGTCATTCTGGACTCTGAGCCATCTTCACTTTCATGCCAAAGCCTTATGAAAATATCAGAGTACAGTGTGTGCTAACATTGCATTGGTGCTGGATTGTATTCTATTTAATTCAGCATCTCCAGCCATGGTAACAGAATGGCAGCGGGTCGGGGAGGGATGGAGGTGACGGCACATCGCATGCATCTAACCTGTCTTCTCCCTTTTTCTTAAATTACAGCAAACTCAGTAAAGCTAGAAATGCAGAGTGATGAAGAGTGTGACAGGAAACCCCTGAGCCGCGAAGACGAGATCAGGGGCCACGATGAGGGGAGCAGCCTCGAAGAGCCCCTGATTGAGAGCAGTGAGGTGGCCGACAACAGGAAAGGCCCGGAGCTCCAAGGCGAGGGAGGAATCCGGCTTCCGAATGGTAAACTGAAATGTGACGTCTGTGGCATGGTTTGCATTGGGCCCAATGTGCTTATGGTACATAAAAGGAGTCACACTGGTAAGCAGCTGAAAGAATAACCTGATGACTGCCTGTGGCCTCTGATGTTGATATTACCTGACATCTATTCTCTCTCCTTTCCATTCAGGGGTGGCAATGGTGAAACTCCCTTTTCAGAGTTCTGCTAGTATTGGATTGCTGAAAAGCAGCAGAGAGTAGCCGGGGTCTTGACTTCCAGCCTTCAGATCTGAATAGCATATCAGAAACAGAAGTTTGGGATTCAGTTTCCACAGTTCTTAATATAGCAATAATATGATAAGGGTTCACAAGGTAGAGGAGAATCTCATTGTGTAACTTAATCTTTTTTTGTATTTCTATACATTTTTACCATACCCATGGGCAGGTAATACAGTTTGCTAGCAAAGAGTTGATACTCTAAAGTGTTACTCATGCATTTATATAAGGGTAGATCATTTTCACCTGATCTAGTAAATTTCTTGGAATACAATTTCCAATCAATCTTTGCATACCATGGGTCTCTGTAGCAGGCAGATATTTATTTTTCCCAGTTTAAGGATTTTACCAATTTCATGTTATTTATTTTTTTAACCATAAATTCTACAAGGAAATATGTAGGGTGGGGTACAGTAAAGGGTGGTGGGTGGGGGGGTAGGAATCTGTAGTTGTGAAATAGGATGAGGAAAAAGACCTCAGTTTAATTTAATGTATACTTTTAGAGATTTGAGTATCATGAAACACCTGCCAAATGAAAAGGCCTTATTGAAAGCTCTTCAAATCCTTTGGCAAATAAATAAATAAATAAATAAATAAATAAATAAATAAATTAATAAAAATGTGATTGTGGCAGATAATTGACTCTTAAGGAAAGTTGCCAATTCACATAAAAATATATTTCAAGGTAATGCAAACTAGTGTTACTTTGCAAAATACCAATAACTCATACAATCAGAACTTTAAATATGACAGTCTTCTAGAAGAGAGATAAATTATAATAAAGAAGTTGATTTAAAATGTTGATTTGTAAATGACTTGTAGGTGCTTAAAAAACATGGCAGATTCAAGGAACGTTGAAGTTTTTAGTCTAAACCTCTCATTTACACAGGAAGGAACTGAAGCCCAAAACAGTCACGACTTATCCATTATCCCTCATGTAGTTAAGGATATTATGAGGTCAGAGTCAAGACTCCGTGATGCTCAGGGTTTTGTTCAAATATACAGTGCTTGGTATATTAATATACCTGCGTTTTATGATGAAGTACTACTATAATATGTCTGATATTTTTTAATTATAGTGAGAAGTTAATATGTTAAAATCAGTGTTAGGTTAATATCATCAACTTTATAAGGATTTAAGATTATTCCAAACATATAGGCAGTAACATTTTTACTTTATGTTTTGTTTTGAATTTCCCTTCAAATAGCATTATATTTTAAAATATTTATATTTAAAATTTAATAGTAATATTTATATTAATAGTGCACATGTGTGTGTTTTTCCCCCTTTCATTAAAAAAAATCTCATGGAACAGTTAAAAGGTCAAGCTTGGATACCATATTTCATAAGATAAAAAAGGGAAAGACTATAAAATAATGGGTCTACTTACCTTTGATACTCATGAAATAATTCTAACTGCAGTTCTAAAAGACGAGCTCACAAAGTTATAATATATTCATTATCTCAGATTGAACACATTAATAAACATGACACTCATTCACATTTCTAGCAACACAGAAACAAAATAAAACCCCACCTAAGGACTTTTTAGTTAAATTGGCTATCATGTTCATTTTAAGGCTGAAAAAGGTACTAAAATCAATTTTTATAAAATTGAGCTAAGAAAATTCACAGAGTATGCTCTCTTGAAAATGTAGGTTAATCAATGTCTCACTTCTGCAGTGATCTTCATGAGGATTGTTGGGTTTAATAGTAGTAATTACATACCTATTCTGTCCATTTGCTATTTAGTACTGTAGTAGAGTTGAGTTATTTTGATTCTGAAATCTTCTAATTGACATGGAAAATGTTTCTAAATAGTTTTATATATTTCCACAAGTTCTAGAAATAGGAGATTCACTCAGCTAGTAAAGGCAAGGCGAATGGACTAAATAAACCATTTAAAGTACTCTGCAATTGTATGAATGTTTACTGTTAATGAATGTTGATCAGAGTACTGTAAACCTTCTTACAACTTTCTGAGATAAAGTAACAGTCATTCAAGGAGGAGCCTAGGATACTTGCCACATTGTTGACCTTGAAATTATGATATATATTTTTAAATAGCAATTCTTGTTTGTGTTTCTGCTGACCTGGTTTATGCATCTGAGTGGGTCATGACATTTTCTATTCCATTTTAGTACTGGAATAGAATGTCTACTTGAATGTCTTTTATTTAAATTTGATTGAAAAAATGCAGTCAAAGGTTAGCTATTCACCACAAATTTTCTCCTTGATATGGTGAACTACTGTATTCATTTTAGAACGTCCACCTCTCACCAGTAATTTAGAGCTAGTGTAACATGTGCTGCCTTAAATCTTTATACAGCTTTTGGGAAACATATGTTTCTGTCTTTTACCTTATAAAATATCTAACATAAAATTGATAGTGAAAAAAGATATACAACCACCCAACTCAGTAAATGACATGGAGCATCCAATCAAATTCACTTATTTTTCTCTCATGCTCTAATAAAGTGCCAATCCCAGTATCTTATTAATGGGTTGGCATTATTTCTTTGGCATTGCTACTTTAGTAGGTAGTCAGGTAATATTGTCATTGGATACACCAGGCACCCTTCATTGGGAATACAGGGAGAAGAAAAGAAGTAGGGGCAGTAAATAAATTCACGCATAAACCTGTACTCATGTAAACATTATAAATAGAGAATATCCTTAATCCTGCCCCTCTTTGGGGAAAGTACTCTCATCTTTGTAGCTTCAAGTTTTCCGCACAATATTCTGTGCACTGCAGCTTCGTGGAGCCCTTCTCCTGCTCTGAGGCCCAGTCTCCAGGTGCTGATTTTCCATATTCATGGGTTACTGTGCCATCCAACCCAGGAACACCCTCTGTCTTTGATGCACCAAAGCAAATCGATGCATGTGCACTTGCAGTTTAATTGCATATTTAAACAGAGAACTAGAATTGTATTTATGAAAGTACATCAGATATTGAAATATAATCTATTTATTCCATAAGAATAATAGATAACTTCATCCAGTGAATAACTAAATAGGGTCCTTGAATAGATTAGTAGATTAAAAACAAAAAACAAAACATAATGAGAATGGACCCAGAATGCATCCAGAGTTGTTCATCCAGACTTTTGTACCCACATGCAGGATAATTAGTATCTGATAATTTTTAAAAAAAATCAAGGTAATTCATGCAAAGCAGATCTGTATTCCTCAAAGGTTCATGTGCATTATTGACATTGCCTCTTCCCTCTTATCCCAAATGGCAGCATGACTACTCGTTTTCATGATGCCTCTTTCTTCACTTCTCCTGGCTATAGGAGCATAGCAAATGCCTGTACACTAAGACTTGCACACTCAGCATTACGACAATATTTCCCAGTATGCCTAGGTCACTTTTTGTTTCTCCAACTCCTTTAAGACTGGTGTGGCTCAGCTGGCTGGGAACTGTCCCTGAACCAAAAAGTTTCTGGTTCAATTCCCACTCAGGGTGCATGCCTAGGCTGCAGACTGGATCCCTGGTAGGAGGCAGCCAATGGATGTTTTGCTCTCGTATAAATATTTCTCTCTCTCTCTCTCTCTCTCTCTCTCTCTCTCTCTCTCTCTCTCTCTCTCTCTCTCCCTTTCACTCTAAAAATAAACTTTAAAATCTTTTTTAAAAATTACAAAACTAAATAACCCTGCTATAAGACCCATGGACTTTTAATTAGATGAATTTAAAAAATTGTTTTGAAAAGTTACCATATTATTTTTTTAGATAAGAATGATATTAAATGATAAATTTAGTTCTCTAAAATCAGGATTTTAAAATACTTTCATTGTAGGAGGCTTCAAGAGAAATTTAATTAACATACTAGTGGAGTGTTTTCCAAAGGCAAACATGATTTCTGATATTTTTGTTCACCACCCTAATTTAATTCATTTTAAAGTTATTGCATACTGATTTGTTTCTTGTTTGGGAAATTCTACATAGACAGATTTCAAGTGTAAAAATGAAATATTTGGAGTGAAAAAATATGAGTTAAAATAATTTGCTGTTTTCCTACTGTCTGAAAAGTTAATTTTATATAAAAAAAAGTGCCTCCTTCTTCCTTTTTATTATGATCTCCATGGTAGGGGTGGCTAATAGAAAACCCTGATTTTAAAAAGTTGTAGAATGCCATTCCATTGGGAAAAAAATATCAAAGAATCAAGTTAAATTTATATGTGTGTGTGCATGTGTGTGTAAAATAATTATTACCAAATTAGATTTAAATTGTTGACTATTTTGTAAGACTGCATATGAGAGATTTTAGGTCAAGTATTTCTCTTTTAAACTATATTTAGTGTTGATTTAATTTGTTAGTTTTATCAAATGAATTAAAAAAGTAACTAAAATTAAATATAAGGCAACTTTAACTTTCAACCTAATACAGCAGTTTGGACATTTTTAAAACATAGCTCATAAGATCTCCAGAATTCTTAAGAAAAAAACCTTAACTCTTGCTATACACCGCCACAGATTATACATTTTATATGAATTTTATTAAATTTCCAAATGAGCAATACTATAGAATTCAAGATACACTTGATCTATCAATTTTTAATTTTTTTTAGCACTTATATCATTATGATATAATGTTCAGTGGTAGCTGCTAACAAGGACAAGTTTATTTTTTTATGCTTTCTAGATTTTTTAAATTAAAAGAATGACTGTTTGGGTTTTATTAAAGGTACCCCCAAATATTGAGGTTTTATTATTCACTGTTATTATGACTGTTTCAGTTAAAGTTATGAAACATGATGATTCAGTTCGAAATTTTTTTAAACTATTAAAATTGTAATCATTATCTAACTTCAAGCACAGAAATGGCCAAGTTTAGCCAAAAGGGAATTTTTTTTTAATTTTATTCTAAACTTTGAACTTTAATATGATGTATTTATATTTTATGTATTAATGTATATGTTTCATATATATCTAGAAAATAAACAAGCTTAAAATAATAGCATTAAAATAATATTTTCTTCATGGTTTCATTAATCATATTAGTTTGCTCCACTTGCCCATTTACTTCATCAACTGTATGTCTTTATATTTGATGACATCGATGGCAGTTGACAACAACAGACTGAACTGATAATTATGGCTTGAAAGGTCTTATAGCAATATCAGTAATAGAATAAAAGACTCCTGTCAAACAAATGGTTTTCATAATAAAAAGAGAATAAATAAGAAATATCTGAATGAATAATTTTCTTGGACTTGCTCTCAGTATGTAAGGAAGTTTTACCAAAGCTTTTACTGTTAGTGAGTAGGAGAATTGAGAGACCTGAGCTATATTTGGAGATTTTGTGGTAATGAGCTTCGTAACCTGGTTCATTCACTGCAACTCTCTTGTCCTCTGTTAAGAAAATTATCAGCTAAGTGAGAGAATTAGACTAAAGACGGCTTTCAACTCAAAATTGAGGTGATTTTTAAAGAAAGCATGGTACAGTGAAGAGAGCAAGATATAGTCACACTGACCGAGATTCGATTTTCAGCTGGAGTACTTATTAGCTCTGTGACTCCCATCAGATACTCTGATACTTGCACTTCAGTTTCCTCACTTGTAAATTTAAAATGCCTGATTATGTCATTATGAGGACCAAAATATTATATGCAAAACGACCTAAACAGCAATAAAGTGATGACATCTCATTGTTCAACCAGTTGCCAATCCCATGACTGTTACTCTTTTGAGTCCATAGCAGAAATCCTGTAAAGGTTCTATGAAGGGGGACACTTGACCTAAAGTGTGAGACTTTAGGGAGGTGAGAGGTTGGAGGGCTCAGAAGGGAGGTGAATAGTCTCTGCATGAGGACTGGCTCTAGCTAGCAGTAGATGGCAAGTTGGTCACTTGTACATGACCTGCCTGACCTTTCCCCTCCCTGTTCCCTCTCGCAGGTGAGCGGCCTTTCCACTGTAACCAGTGCGGCGCCTCTTTCACTCAGAAGGGCAATCTTCTGAGACACATAAAGCTGCACTCGGGAGAGAAGCCGTTCAAATGTCCCTTCTGTAGCTATGCATGCAGGAGAAGGGACGCCCTCACAGGACACCTCAGGACCCACTCCGGTAAGTGTCAGCAGCTCTTTGAGGAGAAAGCTAACACACACTGCAGGAGAGAGCCATGAGCCATACAGAGGACTCTGGCCCATCGTGAGGAGTGACCTAGACAGTGTTTTTTATTAGTGTGCATTGAATAACCAATAAATCTTGCCCTTCTTATAGACTGGGCTAAAGGGGCACTGTTAACTGAAGTCTCTTATTTTAAATCTCCGGAGTAAGAATACAGCTGTTAGATATGTGTTCTATGATTTTTTAAAACTTTTAAATTATTAACACGATAATTATGGTTAACCCAGGAGAATGTGAAATATTATAGTTATATGCTGATGTTATCATAAAAGAGATAAAAGCTATGATTTATTATTATTATTATTATTATTAATTATTATTATTATTTTACTGATTATAACACCCAGGCTGGGACCTTAGTGGGAAGTCAAATATTGCTATTTTTAAACTTGAAACTATGCCCATTAGAAATTTGGCTATTAGAGTATATTTTATTTCCTTTTAGCTCCTGTTTATCTCTCAAACTATAGTCATTGGATGCTCTCTGGAACTGTTCTCTACTTCATAAATCATCATTAAAAATCTTGAAGAAGTTTGATTTTTTTTTTAATGCTAGAATGTAGTACTGGAAAGAAAAGGGATGCTTAGAAATATGAATGAGTCTCATTTGACTTTTAGCATGAATTGCCATAACCAAGAAGTTAAAGGTGAAAAATTAATATTCTCTTAAGTTAGTTTTAGATGCTCCTTCTATTCCTAGTGACATATTAAAGTTTAATTTTAATATAAAGATAAGATGGAAGTGATGTTTTCATCTACTTTGACAAATTGTATTAGAGAGTGCTATGGATTGTAAGGTAATGTTTGTATTATCTTTCTTTACATTTTTTTCTTTTAAGTCTTCAGGCTTTACCTAGTTTTTTAACATGAGTCTGAAATGTGTAAAACTATTTAGATATTAACTCAAAGTTGGGGTGGTTATAGAAAAATTAAATTAATGCAAACATTAAAACAACATACTTTATATATTTTAGTTTCCTCCTGACTCAAAGTAATTCACTTATTTGCAACTATGACACTTAATGTTTTATTTTGGAATCCTGCTATGAAAAGGATATCTTAGAGTGGTATTTTTATTATCAAGTATTCTTTATGGAAATATTTTTAAGACATGAGTTATTTTCTTAAGCTAGCCATCTATTCTGGCTCATTAATGTGTGGTTAAGTTGACCAAGGGTTATATAAGACATAGCTATCTGTGCACATATCTATTGAAGCAAAAATAATTTTAAATACCTGCTTTATTCTTTATAAAAATTGTGTTGCTTTTAATACTGTGATTTAGTGTACACATTTTCTTTACCTGGCATGTGCTATATTCTCAGAAGGTTTGATGCCTGGGGACACCTCTGAAAGACATTCGATATTCATCTCAATTCCTATTTCCTTGATTACATGTTTGTTCTCTTAACAGCTCTATCCCTGTAGGTGGTGTCTCACAAGTCAAGACATCTTGGTTTTTGTTAGACTGAGCTGGGCACCAGCACTTAGCTTCTTTATGCAAATTAGGCATGGTCCATCTGATGTACCTGGTTGGTGGGTGATAAAGTGAGGAGAGGGAAAGTGCACTCCAGAAGTAGGCCGCTCATTAGCTTTGGCCAGGCCAGACCCTTAACAGTCTGTTCACGGTTCTGTGTAACTGTCAGGTTTGTGTGTATGAATTGAAGCTGTTTCTGTGAAACTCTACATTTGCAAATAAATATATTGCTACTTTTGAGGTTCCAAAGAAACCAAGACTGTGGTTTCACTAACTGTTATACAACCATGTTGGTGCTGGCTATATCAAGGCATGATTCTTGCAGCTCTGTATATAGCATACTCACACTGGCAAATAAAAGAGAGTTTACTGGAGTGATGTCACTGCATCATCAAGGGGTATTATCAGTTCAGTCCTTTTCCAATTGGACTCTAAAATATTAGTCATCATCAGTGCTTTTCCTAATAGAGGAAACATGAAGCAAAACTGCTAATGTCCAAGTTTCTAAATGGTCAGAAAGCTCAAGCTGCTCGTCATAATGTTCTTCCAGTACCATTCTGTCTTCCCATCACTGTCCTTGTAGCATGGGCTGGACAGGTTTCATTATCTGATGGGTGACCCAAACCTTATTTCTAGAAGTTCACAATGCTTGTAGTCCTGCCACTTTGTACAAGCACAAGAGTAGCTAGGTAAAGGATCTGACCAGCATTCAAATAGATTATCTGATTGGTTTGGGTCACCCATCAGATACTTTTGTCCAAATTACTAAAAGCATCTCTATCGTGGATACCTTCTAGAGAGAATTCACATAGGACATGTCATCACATTGGGTACCAATTCTGAGAGATTTATTCACACAACTCTCCCCCAGACCTATCACCAATTTCCCTGTCTTGTTCTTCCAAGTCTGTGATCATACCATGTAGCATTACCTCAGATGTATCTCCTTCCATGCAAAGTGCACAGTCTGATATTTTGCGAGGGGAATATCCTATCACTATGATATTTCGGGGCTAGTCCCCCCTTAGTGGGCCTGTAACACAGTGGTCATGACCCATACCAAATACCATGCAATCCATTCATGAACTAGATTCACAGTATCATCCTCCATTTTTACTTGACACTAAAGACGCCCCATGAAGTCATATATGTGGCTTGAGGAGAGACGGTGAAGCAGTAGTAGCTGCTGGTATCAGGGATATTTGCGCTATTGCTCATGAAATCCACCTGGCTTCCCAAACCTGCATGGTCCCAGTTTCATTTAACAATGGAATGCTCTTAGGTACCTCTGATTCAATGATATATTGAGCCAGCTAATAGCTAGTTCATTCTGTATAGTTTGGGCCACATAGGCATTTAGAGTCTGGTGGCCCAGTACTCTCAGTCTTAAACAGAGTCCAGTACTAATATAGGCAGAGTTCTTAAAATGAGAATAGTTATTGGTACAAGACTGTATGTTTTTAAATAAAAAATAAATCTGCATTCTCATACTTCTAATGAACGAGATGTTTTAAAGCCACAGCCATTTCCAAAAAAATCATTGCATTGCTGGAGCTTGGAGCCAAAGGTATAGGGCAGCTTTCATCACAGCAGAGGCATGCTGCAGATCCTTTTCCTGCCCCAGTTCCTCTTTCAACACCCACGGCCCCGTGAATTCCTGGTACGTGCCTCAGAGCAGCGTATCCAATGTGGAATTCACTTTTCCAAAATCCAAGAGAGCACCATGTTTGTGCCTTCTTCATGGTGACACATACGAGATGCAGCCATTTGTCATTTGCTAAAGAGGATCCATTTCAACACGTCCAGGCCACTGGGCCCGTACCATTTCACCAAGGCCACAAATCTCTGAGCTTTCCATGGAGATTATCTCCTACCCTCTAGCATATATCTTATTCAGGTATCTGAGGTATTTACTACTTCCTGCTCATCAAGTCCAATCAGTATAATACCACGAATGTAATGTTCCAGCTTGATGTTCTGTGGGATGTCAAGATGAACAAGATTTCTCTGGACTGTATTATGACAAAGACAGGAGAGTTGACCTAACCTTCAGGTAAGATAGTGAAAGTATGCTGTTCCTGCAATGTGAAGGCAAAGTGCTTCTGATTATCTTTGTTGATAAGGAATTTTTTTTTAAATGGTTCATACCTTCATACCTGGTGTCAGGGGCTATTTTAATGTGATCCAGTGAAGATAATGCACCTGGAAATGCACTTGCCGTTGGTATTCGTAAGGCGATTAAGTCTGCATTCACCCACAGAATTATCTGGGTCTCACATTAGCCTAAAAACACCGCTTCCCTGGGGATGTGATAGGGACCGCCACCCCAGTCTTTCAGCTTTAGTGACAGCTAGTGTCTTGGGAGATGTTGTAGTTCTCCGGCTATGTTCTCCGAGGGGGTAGCCACTAGCCACAGATGACTATTAAACACCTCAATATGCTGGTGCCACATGCTGAAATAGTTTTGCTTCAATAAAATACAGGGATTGGCAAATGTAGGTTTACAGTTGTGAGTGTGGGAAACAGTTAATAAAGCTGTGGAAATAGAATCTGGGTGTCTCTTTCCAACTGAACAACTGTAAACCTACATTTGCACACCCCTGTACATGTACATCAGGGTACCCAGACCTATTTGGACATTTATTGCTGTTCTCTGCAGCCAGAGGAGACAGCTACCCTCCAGCTTCTCACACACGCAGGCTCTTTCCTCACCCAGGTCATTGTTTCATGAAGGGAGTGTTCCAGGGCCACGGTAAAGGACAGGATGAACTGGATGAATCATAATGGATCCTTTTCAATAGTCTTACTTACTTGAGCTTTTGGACTTCCTCCACTCTGCTCTGCCAGGAAAACTTTGGCACTTTAACTTTTTTCTATGTAAGCCATCATGGAATCAAGGATCAATTAATTAGCCACTCCCACCTGCTCAAGGCAATATGCTGAACCCCAAGTCCCAGATGAATGCTCATCTATTGATCAGTTTGGCCAGATCTGGCATCTTAGTTCGCCTTCTTGGTATACAACCCTTAGAATCAATCCATTACATTCCCTTACATGCTAGCCAGACTCCTGCTAAAACAAATCAGAGAAGTTTCCTGAATCTGAATTCAATGTATAGGCCTTGGTTTTGAGCTATCTTAGGGTCTAAATTGTGAGCCTGGGGTCAATGGGATGTAATGGGAAGAAGCCCCTCAGTCTTTTATCAGATAGTCCCACCCTTTTCTCGTCAGTACCCCATTACCAAGACCAGTGGCATTGGTTCTACCCATTTCATATAGCATGGCAATTCCATAAGCTTTCAAATCAGATTCTGGAGTTGATCTGCAGCTTTATTTGCCCTGAGGCTTAAGTAAGTAGGGGCTATCTTAGAGCTGACTGAGAAACACTCTGGTATTTTACCTCTGGTCTGACTTGAGCATTCAAGGCCGTTGTTTTGCTCTTTCCCCTCTACATTTTTCTT